AATGTGACAGTATCAGTGGTAGAAGGATAAACAATTTTAGTCAAAGGGCAGAATTTCCCTAATTTTGAATCCATGCAGTTCTGAGTCTAAGAGATAATGAGATCTAAATTGTGTCGATGTGTTTCTGAAGTGGGGTGGAGAAAAAAGTAATTGCCATTAGAGAAGTTGAAGAATTGTGTGGTCAGCTCTCAGAAAGGTTGTCAACATGAATACTGAAGTCCCCAAGGATGGTGTCAGATATTACAGTGGAAAGGAATATCATGAATTAGGTAGTAAAGTCACTGAAATTGCTAGGTGTATAAAGAAAGTTGAGAGATGACAGAAAGAAGGATAAAGAGTGGGACATAAGTAGATCATAGGGATCTTAAAAGAATAAAGGTCACTGAGTGAGGGTGGTCAGGGAATGATCTGGAAGTGACAGTAGGGATCAAGAACATATCTACTCATGACTCTAAGAATCAGGGGAAATAATAGCATTGGTGAGGGCAGTAAGGAATATATTCTCCTTGGGGGGAGATCCAGGTTTCTGTTGAACAGAAGTAAAAGGAATTTGAATGAAAAGTTCAAGGATGTTGAAGAATTTAATGACTACAGGGTGAATACTCCAAAGGCACAGTGGAAAGGCCAGGCAGTGGGAAAATTGGCTTGGAGTAACTTTGGGGAGAAATAGTGGTCATTAGAATAGGGGTGAGAGATGAAGAGGAATAGTATGGGCAGATCCCTATCATCTAAGGCATTAAAGTAAGACTGGATAGATAGAACTAGGGAGTGAGTAGTTTAGAGAGGTATACTCTCTCAGCAGGACTTAATGGAGAATTTGCAATTTATCTAGAGTTTGAGATAACATTTGGAACGTTATTGTTTTAGAGTTCACATCTTGAGATTTTTTTTTCTCTAGATGTCCTGTTCCTGGTTAAGAAAACTCACTCAATATAGGGAATTCAGTTCTTTTGTAGCATCAGTTCTGTTTATCCTTCCCTTTCTAGTCAACCTCCAGAACCTTATTCCTATTTTCCTGGTTGCTTATCAATATCACCCTAATCCAATTTCTCCCATATTGCCCTTGCTCAAACATTTGCCAGATATATCCATACCATGCCTTCTGATCTCCAACCTCCACTTCTGTCCGGAGCTGAAGGGCCTCTCCCAGTGATGCTGGGCTCTGATTGGCAAACATTTCATCATGTCTTGTCTAGAAAGCTAGGTGCTACAATGATGGACTTGGAATGAGGATTACTTGAGTTCAAGTCTAATCTTACTAGCTGTGTGACTCTAGGCAAATCACTTACCCTCTCTGTGTTTTGTTATAGAATGGAAATAATAACAGTATCTACTTCACAGGGTTGTGATGAGACTGATATGAGATTATATTTGTAAAATGTTTTGCAAACCTTGAAGTGTTATATAAATGCTAGCCATTGGTAGTAGCAGCAATAGCAATAGCAGCAGCAGTAGCAGTAGTAACATCAATAGCAGCAGTAGCAGTAGTAGTAGTAAAAGAAGCAGCAGCAATGGCAGCAATAGCAGCCTAGTTGTTGTTGTTATTGTTTGTCCTTTCTCCAAGAGGATCATGGATTCAGAAAGGTGACACCGTGACTTGCAAGTGAATTAGATTTAAGTGAGGGAGGACTTTGCAAAGTCTCCAGCCTCACTGTCTCCTCCAGAGCCACCTGGGTCCAGCAGCAAGATATAAATCAGGATGACTGGAGATGGCCCTGGATGCAGTGGGAGACCTTGGCCTTTTTAAGCTAAGGTCTTTTCAAGGTTTCTTGGAAAGTTTAAGTGAGCTAACACCCATTCAGTAATTAAGCCTAGGTGAAAAAAATGAGGCAAAGAGTGACTTCTTTTACCTAGTCAAAAAAAAAATCAATCTAGGAGGGGAAGATCCTCAGGGTTTCTGGCCAAAACAGAAACAATTGCTATTTATACTCACTATGAGCCATCAGGGACTGACAATGATCCAGTGAGGCTTGGGCTTGGATCAGTACTGTTGGCCAATCAATGAGAACCAGAGTGATTTGGGTTTAAGGTATGGTCTTCAAGAAAGAAATCTAGCCTTTAAACCCTATGATATCTTGCATGGTTTCAGTGATGAAAATTCACATTCCTTTGAGCAGAGCACCGATAGGTAAGGGTAAGATACCCTATGTGGACAGAGGGAAAAGAGGGAGGGAGAGGAGGAAGGGAGAGAAGGAAGGAAGGAAGGAAGGAAGGAAGGAAGGAAGGAAGGAAGGAAGGAAGGAGGGAGGGAGGGAGGGAGCTGTGTTGCTCTACTGGAACTGGCCAGTTGGGTCCCCACTGGGGTAGCTACTACTACTCACAGGTTGTTGTTTGTCCTTTGTTCTGAAAGAGGGCCATAACATCAGGAAAGTGATGCCATGACTTACAGGTGAATTTGATTTAAGTAAGAGAGGGCTTTTCAAAGTCATGGGCCTCACTTTCTCCTCCAGAGCCATCTGGGTCCAGTGGCAAGATAGAGATCAGGATGACTGGAGATGGCCCCTAGCAGCAGCAGCAGCAGCAGTAGTAGTAGTAGTAGTAGCAGTAGTAGTAGTCATCACATCAACGCTACCATTCCCAGTAAGGACTTACACACTATTATTCCAATCACTATTCTGACTCTCATATTTAAGACACTTCTACCTAGATATCACTAGCCTGTTTGTTGTTGTCCCCTATTGAGAAATAAGGACCATTAATTTCTTGATGAAGCTTCTCTGACCCTGACATTTATTCCTTCCCTCATGCAATGTGATTGGCTCCAGCTTTCCAGACACAGCTTCCTAGTCTGGGGCCATAAAAGTTCTCAACCTTATTTAGTCACTGCTTTTCAGTCTTAGTGGTACCTGAGAACATGTGAGTTGCTCTACCCTGGTGACAGACTGATCCAATCCAGAGAGGCTAATTGCCCCTGAATCCTTATCACATATCCTTGCTGTGTTAGGGCAAAGTAAAACTCTTCCTTTGTTAAATGTTCAGTGAGTTTTTGACGCCTCTATTTGTTCCTATATCAAACCTCAACTAAAAAGTGGTGGCTTTAAAGCCTGCCTACAATACTATTAGAGGGCAGGAACTGTCTTGCTTATATATTTATTCCCTGCATTTAACATAGTGGAAGAACATTTAAAAAAGCACTTAATAAATGCTTTTTCTTTCTTTCATTCATTCATTCATTCATTCATTCATTCATTCATTCATTCACTGATAAGCTCCTTAATTTAGCATTCACAGTTTTCCACAATCTGACCCCAATGTCTCAATCTAGGTTCAAAATTCATTTGTGTGAATCCTTTGCTCTGGCCGGTTGGTTCTACTCTTTGATCATTCCTGCCAATGCACTTTTGCTTCTACTGTACATGGAATACCCTCTCCCCTCCTTGCTGCCTATCCAAATATCCTTCATGGCCCACCCTATATCACTTACTCTGTAAAAATATTCCCAACTACCCTGTTATGAGATATCCTACAGTCTCTGGGTTGAAAGGGACCTCACGGGTCATCTAGTTCAATTTTTGCCTAGAACACATTCTCTGCTCTCCTTTGAATGCCTATGGTTCTTGTTTATATCATTCATTTGGTACTTGGTAGAAATTTTCATTATTTAACTTTTTATGTGCGACAGTCAGGTCTCCAATATAAGAACTGTTTTTTCTTTGTATTCCCATAGCACAGATTACAGTGCTGGGCACATAGAAAGAGATATTCTTTGAATATTTATTGAATAGATGAATGAATATGAACACTGAATAGCATGCAGTAAAGGGTCTATTTTTTCAAAAGAAATTTTATTATCTCCTTGAAATGAATGTCCCTATAAGTCAACTCTTGATCATTTCTGGCTGCATTGTTGGCTTATCTGGAGCAAAACTTGTTTGAAACTTTATTAATAACTTCCACCTAATTTCTTGCTGTTTTTTGAAATCTCTTCCCATTTACTCTTACTTGGTGTCTTCATAGAGAAGGCTTTAAAACTCAAGAACTTAACTGAGTGTTTTTCTAGGGGAGGAATTGCTGAGCTTAGACTGAGAGACAAAGCTGTCAAGTTCCAGCATGGAGGGGGTTAAAAGGAGGAGCTGAACAGTAGAGAAAGAAAGAAAATTCCAAAGGCTTGTAGGGCTAAACTTCAACTAGGTGACTTTATTGCTTACTTTATTTAAATGAATTCCCACATTAGATGCATTCTGATCAAATTCAAACACACAGTAATTTCAAAGGTGATTTTGGGAAATTCGAACATTGTGTAGAGCAGTGCCTTTTGGCTAAAACTTGGATCTTGGAAAGGATTATACCATTAACTCCCTCTCCCCAAGTTACATCAAGTCTTTTGCCAAGGCAGGTCAAGCATTTATTAAGCACCTACTGTGTGCCAGCCACTTTGCTAGCCCTGGAGGCACAAAGAGAGGTACAAAGAGAACCAAGCCCCCAGCTTTGGGATGCACGTGGGGGTTCACATTTACTGCCATATCCCCGAAGAATACCTGGGATTTGCCATTAATTCTGCCAGGCTTTCCTATCCTCTCTTCAGCTGAACCCTCCTCTTTGTGTTTTTACCCCTAGTCAAAATGTGATCACCTTGTGAATGGGGACTATTTTAATTTTATAATTTGAATCCTCAGCATTTAGCATGGTGCTTGGCATATAATAAGTGTTTAGTTAAAGCTTTTCCATTGTGTCCTTCCATGAATAATAGGTGATATGTGAGTTGCCTAGAGAATAAGGTCTCTGAGAATTCAGAGAAGGGAGAAATCATGTTGGGCTGATATCATCAGGGAGGGCTTCATGGAGAAGATTGTAGGTGAGCTGGGCCAAGGAAAGTTCTAGAATTTGGAAATAAGGAGAGAAAGGGAAAGGACATTCTAGATTTGGGAATATCATGAGCAAATTGGTACTGGGTAGGAATGTGTAAACCCTGTTTCAAGGCAAATTAGGCTACTATCCCTAATTAGGAGCAAAGGTTTCTTTCTACCAAGAGAGAAAAGTATAAAAGAAGAAGACAGTACCTTATTACACCAGCCAATCTTCCACTGGAGTTTAATAAAAGTTCACATTTTTGTAGCACTTCAGTGTTTACAAGGCATTTTCCTAGGAGATACTCCTAGGAGATGCATAGTGCAAACATGACTAGCTTTCTTTTAACAGATTAGGAAACTGGAAATCTGAGAGGTCATATGACTTGTTAGTCACACAGTAAAGTAACCTCACAGAGGAAGTCCAAATCTAGGTGTTCCCTGATCCCGGGACCAGCCCTTTTCCCACCACATATTTCAAACTCTGCAGTTTGTTTCTCCAATTAGTGACTTCCTTCAGGCAAGATCTCAGTTGCAGTTTCCAATAAACACAATTTGTATTTGCCACCCAGTCTGCTTTTCAACTTGAGTCACATGAAATCTTCCAGAGGCTGTGATTGAAGTAGTCCTTTATTTAGTAAACACAACTGAATTGTAAAGACAACTCTCTTTTTTGAGGCCCACTTCCCCCACTCTCCAAAGTATCAAGACAATCTTATGCTAAGATACCATTTTTTAAAAATGGGAAGTTTATATTTGTTCCATGACATAAACATGCAGCATCTGGCAGCCCCTCCATAAGGACCATATTCCTGCCAAGGAAATCTCTCAGAGTCAACTGTCAAATCAAGTCAACTAGCATTTATTAAACACCTACTACGTGCTAGGCATTGTGCTAAGCTCTGAGGATAAAAAAAGGGATGAAAAACAGTCCCTGCTATCAAGCCCACAATGGAGAGGCAGTATACAAACAACTATATATTATCAAAATATACTCAGGATAAATTGGTGATGATCTCAGAGGGAAGGAACTAAGATTAAGGAGGACTGGGAAAGGCAGATTGACAATAGTTAATAAACATTTGTTAAGTGCCTAGTATGTGCCAGGCATTGTGCTAAGTGCTGGGGATACAAATACAAAAAGAGAAAGACAGTCCCTGCCCTTAGTGAGCTTACAATATAATGAGGAAAGACAACACACACAAAAACGCTAAAAAGCAGAAGATAATTATCTGGCTGGAAGGTGGCACCTAATGTGAGGACACCGGGGGGAAGTCAGTCAGAGAAGTCCCACAGTAGTACAGCCAGGTGAGAAATGAAGAGGTGTCTGAGCTGAGCTCTGCATGGAGGTTAGGAGCTCTTGGCCCCATCCCGGGATGAGAGGCAGAGGATAGTGATGAGGTAGAGTACTGAGGCTGATGAGATCTCGCAGGATGGTGAGGTTATCCCAATAGGAGCTTCCTGTGGCATGGTAGGGAAGTCAATTGGAGAAATTCCGAAGTAGTAACTTTAATCAAAGTAGCGACTGAGATTTAAAGAAAGCCAGGGAAGCTAGGAAGTAGAGCTGACGGGGTGGAGAAAATCGGGGGTGGGGGGATGGGGGAGAGACAGAGACAGACAGACACACAGAGACAGAGAGAGACAGAGAGACAGAGACAGAAACAGAGACAGAGAGACAGAGATGGAGAGAGAGACAGAGAGAGAAAGAGAAAAACAGGCAGAGACAGAGACAGAGACAGACAGAGAGGGAGAGACAGAAAAAGGCAGACACAGAGAAAAAGTTAGTTCCAGGCATAAAGAGACAACCAGAGAAAAGGCCTGGGATTGGAAGATGGAGTGCGGTATATGAGGAACAGTAAAGAGGCCAGTGTCTCTGGACTCTAGAGTCTGTGGAGGGGTATAAGGTGTAAGAAAATTGGAAAAGTAGGAAGGAACTAAGTTACAAAGGGCTTTAAAAGCCAGAGGGTTTTATATATGACACTGGATGCAATGGAGAGCTATTGGAGAACTATTGGAGTTTGTTGAATAGGGGTGTGACATAGTCAGATCTGAACTTTAGGAAGATCAATTTGACAAGTGAGTGGAGGATAGACTGAAGTGGGGAGAACTCATGAACCATTCACTTCTCTATCAATCAATCAATCAACAGGTATTTATCAAATGTCAACTATGAGCAAGGCAATGTACTAGGCTCTGGAGACATAAATTCAAAGAATAAAACAATTCCTATTCACGAGAGATTTACAATCTAATATCACTTTCCTTCCTATTTTCTCAAAGGATTCCAGGCACTGAAGCCCTCCCTGGTTTGTCTAAAAATGACTCAGGATTCTTGGGCCACTCCAACTCTTCTAGGAAGACCAGCCCTCTTAAAAATTGAGCAGAATGACTAGAATTTTGCCCAGGGACCTGAACTCAGACAGACCTGCCCAATTTGTAAATTTCTTCCAGCTGCAGATAGATTAGACTACAGACAGACTGACAGTGATTGGTTGCCTCAGGTCACCTGACAATCAGGGGACCACGCCCTGGCAACTCTACAGTTTTTGCTAACTCCCCTAGGAAACCCCTTGGCCAGGGCCCATGGACCATATGTTATTCGGGCCTGACTTAGAGGGTCCTATGCCCCATGGCTAAAAGTACTTGCAGTCCTTTAGCAGAGAGCTTCGTACCTAGTCAGTGTAAAAAGGAAATAAACACGTACACACACACACACACACACACACACACACACACACACACAATGTGTTTATGTGTAAAATTAAAAGTTATGTCCTTGGTGGCCTGCTTCCTCTCCTGGTGACCATATCCCAGGTGAGCTCTGCTTCTCTGCCTGCTCCCACTACACCTCCCCTGTGGTAATGTTTCTTGTCACTTGTTTGTAGATGAAGTTTGTAATGCCCTAGGAACAAACGTGACTGGTTATAGATGACATTGGATCATAGAATTTATTCCACTCCCCTTAGGGAAGTTTCTCTGAGACATGCCTTTCTCTGTCTTTTGCCTCTTCCTTCCCTCCACTCCACTCCTTCAGGTATCTAGTGCTCCTCTGATATGATATGCTTTCCCTCAAAACAACAGCAGCAGCAGTGCTACTTATTTTCGAAGATCTGTGATCAGTCCCTTACTCCCTAGTGCAATTACAAGCCATTGTGTTTCTTCTAGGGACATTCATTCTTCAATCCTTATATCTGCTTGTGGAATGAAAGACCTATCCCTTGGTGAGGGGGTTTCAGTCCTTGGTGATCATCCGGGGTGGGGGAGGTATTTAGGAGTAAGAGTCTCACTGGGGTCTCCTAAAATCACACCATATAGAATGCTACGAGCTTCAGCTGTGTAAGGATGGCTCTGCTTTGTGAGCCAGCAGCTGTGCTCCATTCCCAGATGTCGAAAGTCAGTAGCATTTCCCTCTATGCTAAGTTGAAGATATTCTTAATGAAGTCATTAATCCACACTTCCAGATCCTTTTGGGGTTCATTCTGTCAGTGGGAAAAAAAGAGTGTTCTCCTCAGAATGAATTAAGGGCCATTTTTGTCTCTTAATTACCAAAATTAGGCTGTCAGATCTACTGCGTTTGAGAGATAAAGTGAAAACCAAAGATGTCTCTGGGCTTCAGGTTTTTTCAAGTAGCATTAGGCATTTTCCAATCCTCTCTTCTCTAAAAGTTCAGCTCTTTATTGGTTGAGTGGCCTACTCTTTCTAGTGTGCTAGTATCTCCTGGGAGCTAGAAAAAAACAGCAACTCAGAGATCATGGTGAATAGTAACTTTTGGTGCTGACTCTTGGCAGAATGATGAAGAAAGGTATGTTTGTCTTTGGAAATGCTTCATCTTACTTGCATGCGGTCTCCCGTCTTATACTATCGTGCTCTTCAGTGTGGTTGCCCCAGTAAGGTCTTCCTTCCCTGAGCAGTGCCTTAACTAAGAGAGACTATGGCTTTGTTCTAGGATGTCACCATTTAAAGGGGGCTGTTAGCATTTATAGTTCTGCAGCTTAGAAATTAATATTTAGCTTAGTAGCTAATTAGTAAGAATAACTAGTTAAAATAAGAAGATGCCAGATGGTGTGTTTCTTTTTCCCCTTACAAGCAAGACTCCAGGTGAGTTACTCTGTGACCTCTCTCACCCTTAACCCTCAAACCCCTGTAAAAGAGCTGTTTCCCCAACAGGAACCTAATGTTTTCTTGGGATCCCTTTCTTCCTCAACCTCAACTGAATTGCCCTGGGCAACAGAAATGCTAGGTTCAGATTTGGCAGAGATTTTTCCTGGGCACTTATTACCATAAAATACATTTGTCTAAAATCTCATCTTAAAGTCTAGCTCTTAGCTTGGAGTTAATTGAATATACTCATCCATGCTATGGTGTTAATGGAAGTGAATTGACTTCTTGGGTTCTTCCCTAGAGGTCTCTGGAAATAGTTTATTTTACAGATGAGGAAACTGAGGCAGTAGGGTTAAGTGATTTGCCTAGGATCAAACAGCTAGTAAGTGTCTGAGGCAAGATTTGAACTCAGGAAGATGGGTCTTCCTGACTCCAGGTCCAACACTTTGTCCATTGTGCCATCTAGCTGCCCCCTCTAGAAATAATGCCTTGAAACTTAAAGGAGTGACTCTTATGGTAAGGCAGTATGACAGGTGATAGGGGAAGAGATTTAAGGCCAGAAGATAACTCTTTTAAATACTCCATGAAGATAGCTTCTTACTACACGTGTCTTATTACATCAGACCTTGATGGTGGTACATGTGAATTCCATGACATTACTTACACTCAAGGAATTATTTATAATTGTTTGCTGGGATTTCTCTAATTAAGAATTGATCTTTAATCAATAGTGATTTAGAACATTTTTTTCATATGACCATAGATAGCTTTGGTTTCTTCCTCTGAAAACTGCCTGTTCTCCTTTGACCATTTATCAATTGGGGAATGACTTGTATTCTTACAAATTTGACTCAGTTCTCTACATATTTTAGAAATAAGGCCTTTATCAGAGATACTGGTTGTCAAAATTCATACCCCTTTTTTCTGCTTCCCTCCTAATCTTGGATGCATTGGCTTTATTTGTGCAAAAACTGTAGAAGTTGCTTGATAAAGTCAAGGCAGGGGCATGAAACATTTCTAACCCACAGGTCAGTGTGATCCTGCAGAAAGAGTAGTGGTCTGAGAGTTGGAGTCCTAACTCTAATGCCCAAAGTAATAGGCAGTATGATGAAGAGAACAGGGGGCACCACTTGAGGTCAAGTGAGCCTGGATTCAAATCCTACTTCAGACATTTACTAGCTGTGA